ACATCAAGATACAAGTGCAATAAAACCACTAGAGGAAACGCAAAAAAGGGTAACAAGATTACATAACCAAAGGCGGGAAGGTTACAATAGTTCTGACGATATTAGTTACACAGCAGGAAATCACATCGGCAGCAAGGCGCCTTAACAACGGCCGTGCGACCGAACCAGACAACATGGCAGGTGAGCTTATCAAGTACGGGCCTGCCTCTCTCCACCATGCGCTAGCTCGGATATACAATGCCGCTATTTCCAACAATGAGCCACTCTGTATTGGCGACGGGACTCTTATCCCACTACAAAAACCTGGCAAGGCCAGGGGCCCCCATCTAACCTGCGACCAATAGTACTGTTGACGGTGTTGCGCAAGGTGTTGTCGCTTGTAACATTGTCCCGTGTAAGTAGAAAATACATAAATGCTTATCTCCCACCCAGAGCGGTTTCAGGCCTAACAGAAGCTCCTCGGACGTAATATGATCCTACCGTTGGGCTATAGCTCGATGCCAACGCCTACAACAGAAGTATGACATTATCGGTATCGACGTGTCAAAAGAATTCGATACAATCTCACGTCCGAAGCTGATCGATGTTCTTGCGTCATTTCTTGACAACGACGACGTTTCATATCTTCTGCAGCGCACCACCTTGCAGGTTCGATTGCCGGGAACGGATTGCATTAAGTTCAAAACCGACAGAGGCACCCCACAGGGGGACTCATTATCTCCTGTGCTATTCATCGTGTATCTAGAAGCGGCCCTGCGGGATGTGCGAAATATCTGACCGATCCGGCCACAACTCGACATCGACCTGCACCTCCCAACTGACACATTATGCTGATGATGTTGACTTTCTGTCATCTAGGGGAACTGACCTCTAATCATGCATCCCTGCCATTGGAGACACCTTAAAGCAATGGGATTTGACAGTCAACTCCGCCAAGATAGAAGTCACCCATACCGAGAGGTTCAGCGACTGTATTGCAGAAGAATGGAGGCTGACCCGGAAGCTGGGATCGCTACTGGGTGACAGGAAAGACATATCTCGGCGTATGCAGCTGGCCACAGGTGCGTTTCAACGGCTTTGGGCACTGGGGGTGAGGGGCTCGCAGAGGAGAGAGAAGAGACGTGTCAAGCTATACAGCACATTTATCACACCAATACTCCTGTACAATTGCTCAACATGGGGAGTCCCAAGCAATGTCATCAAGCGATTGGAAGCATTCCACAGACGTCAATTGCGAACATTCGTCGGGATCAAGTACCCTCAAGTCATCAAAAACAGTGAGCTGTATTAGCGCACCAACTCCTAGCCCCTAGGAGAAACCATTGTGAGAGCGAGGTGGTGGCTCTTTGGCCATGACCTGAGACTAGATGACGATGTACCAGCACGCGTTATGATGGCAGCATACTTCGAAAACCCAAGTTCCGCTGCCATCTGGCGGGGCCGGCCACGAACCACTCTGACAAGACTGGAAAGACCTATGCAGCAATGTGATAAAAGCATACATCAAAGCCTAATACTGCTTCCACCTGTGGCAGCTGCATGGCTGTACGGTGTACCATAACAAAACTCATTGACTAACATATTTCGTGCAAATATTATCCTGTTAAAGAATAGGAATGTAAACAACATACTTGTGAAAACACAACCTTTTTATGCTTCTAACACAACCTGTGACTACAATAATCATGAAATCAACCCCAAAACATTTCTTGCAGTTTACTTTCGTAGAGTTTGCGACTTTGTGTTCCTGAACACAACTTCAGGGCTCACGGTTGTGTACAAATACGTGGGCGCCATTTTGTTTCTGGCCAGCTCACGCGACGACAGGTCGACTGTCACGCGACCACAGCTCGACCACCCCTTGTACACAAACTCTAGCCATCTCGCAGCGCATTTTCAGTGCGACACATGCCTCTTCAAAATAGAATAAGGTAGCACAGGTAGACAGTACAACACTGAAAATTTGGGTGGAACCAGGCAAGATGTGAACTAGGGGTTCAACCGAAGGAATTTTTGATTTTGGCCCTGGGAAACTAAAGATATGGTCACAAAGTCCGTGAATGCTCTACAGCGATCCCTTCATCTAGAAAAAAATCGCTTCGGTTAAACTGTAGCTTAGTATCTACTGAGGATTTTGAGCCATCGATTGTCAAAATCGGCCAATATTGTGCTACCTTATACTGTTTTGAAGTGAGCTAAGTCGGCAGGGGCGCACGCGAACTCCCGTGCGCGACGACAAGGAAGGAAGCCTGTGCATATGCGTTGTACGATGCGGAAACTACACCAGCGAGGCAGCAGCAAGGCGTTTTTTGCAATGTTTCCTCCGTGACTGACAAACTCTTGAAATATTATTCACCGTTTGCTGTCTCGCTCATCGGCGCTCTACTGCTGTGTGCTTCAGCAGCTATGGCGAACCGAAAATACATGACCAGTACAACGGCGAAGCCATTTGATTCGTCCTCTTGCAACGAAACAGAGTGGCAAATCAAATAATTCACAACTCTCCATCGTCACTTCTCACAGCAGCGTGGCACGGCTCTTTCACTCGTGTAAGTGCATTTACAAAACGCTCTGAGAACAGAGATAACGAACTAGAACACGGTGTGAGTCTTTGCTTCATTCCATCAAGGAGCTCTTGTCCTCTACCTCTCCTCACCTGCGCCAGTGCATCAGCGGACGACATAGATGTCGATCCCTTTCTCACTAAAAAAACTCGGCGGCAGAACTCGCGACTTCTCATCGCAGGACTCAGCGTGCGAACGAACTGTCTGAAGCCTTCGGCTTACGAGGCCAGCACTGCTCGCAACACACTCGCTCGGAAAGAAGCAATAACAACGACAGTGAACGGCAACCAAAGTGAAACGCAAGTCCCCAGCCGGTCTCCGTCTTCCTCAGTTCTACTACTTCTTGTCAGTCACCAGGTCACTGCAACTCTCTCCTTGCTGTGCTCCGCGCCGCGTAGGCGTGCACAGCTCGAGTCACGCGAGCTCATTTCTATGGTGATCAGATTTCAAGATGTCCTCCCACGTAATCGAGTTTTGGCATCCCAACCGTGAGCCCTGAACTTGCAGCTTCCTTCAAAAATACTCTCAACCTTGGTTCTGTCCTAGATCATATAAACATGCATTCATTGTTTCGTCTCATCATCATGGAGCAGCTTATGCGAAAGCTAGCCAAGGTTGCTTGGCGATGCCAACGCAGAAAAGCCTATAATAATAATAATAATATTAGTTTTTTGATCGTATTCTTACTTTGTAGCTGAGTCCAGACTCGTTTGAATAGTTAGCCGAATTCTCCCCCGAGTTCTAGTTCCCTAGCTTCTCTAAGAATTCTCATTACGGACTCCATTCTTGTTACAAAGAGATTCATATTCTTGTGCATTTGTTCTCAAACAAATTCCTCGTCTTGTGCATTAATTTGTTTGAGTACAAATGTTGTTCTCCAACAAATTCTTCGTAGCATTTGCAGTAGTCTTCCGCTCTTTGATTCGTTTGACTCGCGCGTGACTTTCCTTCCTTTTCTTTTGTCATGAATGACGTATCGGTATGACGTGAGTGTGTATGCACTCTGTTTATGGCCATGTCACTGCATGCTCACGTGGAACTACATTCAGTAGGCTAGTGCATTTTAGCGACTGCAGCGATCCAATCTTCTTGCTGCAGCGCTGTTTCGTCTTCTTCACTTGTGTCTTTTCTTTGGTCGCTGCACTAGTTTGTGATTACCATGATTACGCATCAATGGATGACATGGGCGCCATTTTGTGCATGTCCTTTTTCCTGTTGGATCTTGGATCTCGTGGAAAAAGAGGAGTCTTTTTCTCCCAACTTTACTACTATTTCGATATGTCAACTCTCTTGATTCCTTGTTGATAGTTGTGGCTCAGTGCATGTGCGAGTGTGCTGGAGTGCCAGCTGGAAGAGACAGAGAGCATAGTAGTGAAGTAACAATACACCACCACCAAGTTGGTTCTGGTGATCATTGCGCAGGACGCTGTATCCACTGATCGCAATTTCAATATCAGATATTGTGCTATCAAGCCAAGTTTCGTTCAGGCAGATGACATCAGGATTGTGTTGGTGGACTAGCTGAGATACGCCTGTATTCTTGTTACGAAGACTCCTGCTGTTTAGAAGCATGACTGTCAGTTTATGCTGTGCTGGGAACGAAGAGGTGGAATAGAAAGGGCGAGCAATGGGATTGAGGTGCATGCACTCAGTGCTGGGGCGGGATGGAGTGGCGAACGGATGTTTGTAACGACCAAATATTACACCCGACATGGCGAAATGGCCGATTTCGCTCATGGATGGCTCCTTTAATGCCTAGGCCCTCATTTACCCACTATGAAAATGTGGTCCAGAAACCATCCTTTCTTTAGATATGGACCAAATTATAAAAAAGGAACTGAAAGCTTCAAGTAAGGTACCAAAACGAGGGTTCACTCCTGCTCACAACAACGCAGCGCTGCCAAACCAAATGTGTTCGCGCATCGATCCAAGTTTACTAGGAAAGTTTAGCCATCCAACTTTCGATTGGTGACTTGCTGAGTCCCTTGAAAGAATCGATCAATTCATCCGATCTCATGGTGGCCATGACGAAGGTCATCCTCAAGGGCCAGAAACAGCGGGGTTATGTCCTGAACTTGGGGATAGACCAACACCATAGTCTGCTTCAACATTTTCCCAAGCACCAACAAGTGGTCTAAATAGATGCTCACTGTTCCTGCCTGCCTTGCGGGCTAGCGCAAGGGAAACATGGATGAATTGCGTCAAATGGAAGTTCGACCTTTGGCCTCGGGTTGGTGGATCTGGTCTATTCATCCCACCACCACTACCACAACACACACATACATATACGCGTACACACATACACCATTTAGGAACTCCATCTGATCAATGCCGTTACGGTTATAGGGTTTCGGCATCCCCTAGAAATTGAAATGTGGTTCTTGACCCGCTCAATGAGTGAACTTGTAATTGGTATCACGTTTTGATGTGTTTCAGGTCCATTGGGGGTAATAATATACAAAATCGCTGACACATTTGTCCAGCTAAAGGCCAATGTAAGGGTGCACGGCGACCTTCCTATTGTGCGGTACTTTTTCAAATGTGGTAAAAAGAAGAAGGTTTCTGAGCTGTACACGTCTCCATTCCAACAATCTACCTACATGTTTACGGATTTGACAGCTGACACAAACTATAGCGTCTCCACAGCAATCCAAAACAAATACGGTTGGAGCAGCCTCTCCCAATCAACATCTATCACGACCCTTCCCGCAGGCAAGTACAACCCCAAAAGGTTTCCGCCTAGTTTACAACAATCATTGTTTGAAACCTTCGCATGAATCTGTCTATAATACTTGTGCATCTCTTACTCTGCCAAATGGCAATAAGCACATGATGACCATCAGAATGATTTCTAGCTGGAATCGGCGATGTCGCATCTTGCCCACTTATCTCATTTCACCATCACCAACAGTTTGAGTCCAGTTGATATGCAAACTACACTGTTTCCATTGTATAAGATAGGCCTCTGTCTGTCCTGAAACGTCTGCACGGAAAGGTCCATCCACCTATTTGTACATAATGTGTAGTACGTGTGTACTTGTGCATAAACAGAACAACAAGGGCAGGGCTTGTTTGTCGCTACCCGGAGTTTAATGCCTACGCAATCATGGGCAATATGAGAATGCTGTAGACCAAGGTGGCATTTATGCTAGAAGAGATATTGGTGGAGTTTGTGCTGCAACAGCATGGGGTGATGATTTGGTACTTTTTGCATATGTGCATACTGGGAGCCCACATTCAAGGTCGTGTACAGTGATAACTACCAACTGTATAAATAAATATCTCCATCCTTGGTATCACTGTAGACGATCTGCAAGTCGTGATTTTTTTGGAACATGCCTGCTATTGCCTTTGTGTTACAGCACCATCAAAACTAACTATTACTTCAACGGACAGTGAAATCAGGGTTTCTGTGAAGGACACCTACAAATCAGTAATTTCCAACTATTGCTTCATTCGGAATACAGCGAAACCCCAGGACACGAAAACGATCTGCAGTGGTGTACACAATGTCACGCTCACGGGTTTGGCTAGCAATGTGCATTACAACGTAAGCGCCTTTGTTGTTACAAAAGATGGACGGCACAGCTCTCCGTCTAACGTGGTTAATATCAGCACCAAACCGTCCGCAGTGAAAGCTATCACAACGAGTCTGTCTCAAGGCATCACAAGCAGTGCCATTCCTGTCACCAAGGTTGGACGGACCAGTACGGTGTCTAGTGCGATGGGTATTGGCACCACACTTTCAAATACTAAAGATGAGACAACAAGTGGTTCTCAAGACAGCCCAGCCAGCGCCACTGTTATCCCCAAGGATCTACATAAGAGTCCTATACACACGGCTGCTCGAGCCATTACCAGTCAGTCTGATATCAACACTTCCACAAATAGTGGCTCTCTGGAGACCAGAAGCGGCTCTGTATCTGCAGCCATAGGTGCTGTTGTTGCTGTTGCTGTGTTGCTCATGCTGGTCGCAGCCCTTATCCTTCTGTGGAAATTCAAGATGATACCTCTCAAACATTTTCAAGGTACGCGAACATGCAAGACCATTGTTGAGGTATTTCACCGTTCAGGATATATGTGTGGCTTTTTCCGCTGTCTGTTCTGGAAAATGCCTACAACCTCATCCTTGAACCTGTGAATGAAACGAAGTAGACCAGACGCCTTTAGATAGTCTCTGCTAGAAGAGCTGTCCAAATACAAAATGTGATAGCAATACCACCGCCTTTTGTCTTGATACGTCACTTTACGTAATAATGTCTCGTCAGAATGTAGGCTTAGCCACAGGGTTTTAGATTCGTTACTTGAACCAACCGTATCGAAAACAGATAGTAAGTTTTGCAACAGTTTACAATAGATCTGATAGACTGGAATGATATCACAAATTGTTACATTCCACAATCGGTTTGAGTATCTTCGCACTTGACGAGGTTTGCAAAATTATCCTCGGGCTTTTGGTTGAGGGCTTCCTATTTGAATTTATCTTGCGACAGTATGACTCACTTTGTTTGTTTGTTTTCTCAGTACGCTCCCTATCTCCAAAACGACTCACCTTGAAGTGTCAAAACCCTCTCAAGTTGGCACAATACTGACCATCCGTAATTGTATGGTCTGAATTTCTGCTAGTAATTCCTCTTCATCTATTTTTGTTCTTGCCAGGTGGCGAACTGGACCTTGGAAATCAGTCTGTACCCAGCTCTCGTCCTCAAGAACACGAGACTAACCTTGTAAGGAGAATTTCCAAAGCTTAGTCCACGAAGGGTAAATTTCACTTCAGTAATATATTAGCACCAAGAATACATGACCCCACGAGTGTGCAACTTCGCCATGCTGCAACGACAGAATTCCACTTGACGGTGTTTGTTATGATGCAGTTGCCATTGAACATGTCTTATCAGATATGTACTGGACCTGTGCTAGACAAATCCACAGTTGAAGCTGTGCGGACTAGATCAAGGTAACATGTAGTGTGTTGACACACGTACACACGTCCTGAATCACGTGTGCAGGAGCTGTGCAGAATAACAATAATTATTACGCAACTTGATATTCGGTCGAGACAGCAGAGCATGCAGGAGCTGCACACTCTTCGGGGTACTACGTACTCTTGATATCACTAATAGGACTTCGAAGTATATTATTTACTGTGAATGCCTTGACCCCATTAATAAAATTTTGGATGAGCTTCTAATGTAAAACAGGTACCCTCCAAGAGCATCCATTGCTCAATGGAATTAAACTCACTTGAGTTCAATAAAGGTGAGGTGCTGAGAATTTACAATCAATGTTTCCGTTCTGTGCTGTTTTGTTGTAGGATGCAAGCGAACGATACGCCATGGTAGGTACCACTGCTAGGCGACGTCCATCTTGTTCCTCGGGTGATTGTGGTGGTGGTGGTGATCATATATACTCAGCGGTAAGCGAAATATCTCTTATGAAGTTATTTGAGGGCATCATATTGACCAATGAATAGCAGTGGATTGTTAATATCATAATAATTATCACAAACAACATCAAGACTAACAGAAAAGACGATGGAAACCCAATACCATATTGTTCGTAACCATTGAATCCAGTGCTGCCGTCTGTCACCAGTGCATTATGCCCAGTCCTGCAGATGTCAAGGTGATTAGTGTTGTGTCCAGTCGCTTGTTTAATACTTTGAATATCGTCTAATTGGCATTGGATGTATCATAAGTTTTTGCTTGTGGGGTTTCTGGGCCTCACACCTGCACCTTTTGTCATTCATTGTAGGTAGACGAGGTCATCAATACACATCATACGATGTTTTTCATATACATGTACCTCATTTTGATTGTTGTGTTTCGTTTTGTTGCATATCATGTGATGAGATAACATTGAATGTACTTCGTGAAAGTTCGGTAAATGTGGCTGGTGAGGAGTATGAAGTTTGTTCGTTTGTTTTGAAAATGTGATTGCATTTTGTCTCCGAGATAACCACAGCATGTGTGTACATGTCTGCGTATATGCACGTGTGTTTTGTGTGTGTGTTTGTGTATTCATGCGTGCATGACTGACTGTGTGTGCTGGTGGGTGCATATTATGACATGGTTTGTTTGTGCAGGTGGGTATGCCAGCGAATTCTATCACCAACGTATGTTATTCATTTATAACATGGGAAATTGTTGGCACAAGTTGTGCGACTGAGTCCACCAACTAAACCAGACCTTTATCCCTAATTGGAATTAGCACTAATATCCATGAACCTTCCAAGTTGGAAGGCTGTTGGTTAGCGCTATCAAGCAGTGCTCAAGCTGACTTTCATGCCGTGGAATGTCTCAGTACTCCTTGTCAGTTTTGTGCTAGATTGTGCACGTCTGACTGTTCAAGTTCTGGTTTAGTAGGTGGACTCAGTCGTATAACTTGTGCCCACAATTTCCCATGTTAAATTTTTTCCTTGGCTCACCATCTGAGATTTCCATTAATTTAATTTTGTAAATAAATAAAATTATCTGGCATGCATTGCATGTGCATGGGCATATTGTAATTTCTGACGTTTTCAGCTGGCTGAGCTCCTTGCTCTGCGTTTGGTCCGGAGACACCGCTTGAGTTAGGTACCATTGCCTTTGGGTCATCCGTCATAATAATAATGATAATCATGATAGTGTAGAAAGGAAAAGGACATATGGATACGAGTTAATAGTAACTCTCCATCACTGTAACTTGATACTATATACAGCTTTCCTTTCTACGTTTATTTATGGCTCAACATCCGTTCAAATAATGATAGTAATTGAAATTATCTAATTGCCTTGTATTTCACTAAACCAGAGGTTCTACATCTGATTGGGGTTTTGATAATTGTTTTCAAATAGGCGAAATGGAGACAACAATAGCAACGATTAATATAAGTTCCGCGGTCATCCCACCCAACAATAAATTCTCGAAATTTTCGTCTCTGCATTCCAATAAGCTGTTTCGGGGAGAGGGGGGGGGGGTGCTCTTCTATGAAGTCATTTCACGGCGTGCATGTCCATGCAGGGTGTACCTCACAGATCTGCTACGTCAGCTCAGGAGAGCTTTTACACTGCCATCGGAGCTGACATACCTCACACTTGTGGTCAGGAGAGTTCTAACAACATTGATGAGACCTATGACAACACGGAGATCTTATCAAAACCTGCACACGCAGGAAACTATGACAAGGTATGGTTGGGATCAGGATGAAAGAGAAGCAGAGGGGTCTGGCCAAAGTGAGGCGTCTCTTAAATTTTGTAAGTGAATAGTTCAGCACAAACAGTGTTGGAACCTCATATTAAACGGAACTCTCATTCCATCATTTTGCTTCCATACGTCGTGGCCTGGCACACACGAAACTCCAAAAGTCCTACTCAAGCTGGCTATGTTTCTCAACACAATACTGTATAGCTGTCTGTTGCCCATTTTCAAGGCCAGAAGGTTTTCTAGCTCTTCACCATCTTTCTTCGTGAAACAGGGATTGTTGGCGGGGGACTAGCACGGCTATTGCGTGCTCAATACTGACCTCTGTAAACGGACATTCCTGCTGTGTATAATCCGTCAGGCTGACAGCGAGGGAAACACGTACGCCCACTTACAAAAAGGTCTCGTGCAGGAGCCTGCAGTGGCTGGTGTCCAATATCAGAACACAAAGTTGCAGTTGTCAACTGAACAACCTGAGGTACAAGTAGACTAAAGATTAGTACTGCAAGTAGAACATGTTCAAA